TTACACAGAAATTCTGCACAATCCCAAAGTATTACCTTTGGCAGCCCGAGACTGCGCAACTTGTGTCTCTTTCTTTTTGCCTCCAAAATCTCACAGAAACAAAAACTGACTCCATCCGCATGCATCTAGTCTACCAGTTTATACCCTACAATCAAAGTAATTTGCTCTCAGCTTCGCCTAAGCACCGGTTTCATAAGCAGAAAAGTTTCTACTGATGACAGGTTTTTATAAGACAACTTCCATCCACGTTGACTCAGTTTTTATGCGTCTTGTGCTGCAATAGTTGCATAAAACATAATGCCGAGATCCTATCCGTGCGTGTGTTCCGAATGCATTTTACTCTTGGGTTTCACTCGACGATCAGAAGAGCTAGGAAGCTGAAATTTGAGAGGGATCCACTATCCGCATGTGATTTCGCAAATGAAGTTAAATTTAGCTTTCTTGTGCGCCTAGGTCTCGCATACGGCTACGTGAACGTTTTGGCGCGAAAATTACTAACACAAGGACCAGGAAGACCAAAAAGCTGAAATTTCAGGAGAATGCCCCTTGTCCACGTATCACTTCCACGAACTCAAATCCAGCCCTCCTCCTCCCTTTTCACCGCATGCCTAGATCCCACACATGGACGCTTGGAGTTTTTGGCGCTGCCATTAATAATTCAGGAACCACGAAAGCTAGGAGGCTGAAATTTTAGGACAGTGCTGCCTCTCAGTGTGTAAATTCATTCTCGCATCCACCTTGGTCCCATACATGGACAGATGAAAATTTTAGCACCAAGACTGATAGCTTGGGCACCACGAATGTTAGAAGGCTGAAATTTTGGGAGAATGCTTCCTGCTCGTGTACGGCCACGTAACTTTAAAATCGGCCTTCATGCATGCTTCTGTCTCACGAATGAGCAAGTGGAAGTTTGCGCGAAAATTGCTACCTTGGGAACCAGAGCAGCTAGCTGGCTGAAATTTTAGGAGAATGTTCCCTACTCGCGTATAACTCCTTAAATTCAAATTCTGCCGTTAATGCTTCGATGGCTCTATTTTCAAGGTTGCTTACAGCGAAGCTAATAACATTTCCACTCGAGATAGAATTATGTTATTGAAAAACTTTCGGAGCCATCCTTGAATGTTTTCATCAAAAAGTCAGTCTTTTCTGAAAATGACAAATTTTTGCCTGCCACTGAAAAATACCAAATTTCGCGTCATTTTTTTACCATCTTACACATACTTTGAATACCATATTTTTCTTTATACTGATAGTTTTAGTGTGCGTTTTTTCGCCCCGGTGAAGCACATTTGATGGCGTCAGAACTTGCCTGCAAAGTGGGCCGTCTGCTTTTGTTTG